GAGAGAAGATGAAAGAGCCTCCTTCACTGCCTTTTCTCTTTCTCTGATGGAAGCCTCCTGACGCTCCTTTTTCTCTCTATCAAGAAGATCCTTGCTAGATTCTCTGACAGTCTAAATAAATACGCCAAAATTAAGATTGACTTAATTAAAACAAAAGCGCGCAATGAGTGAAAACAGCATACATTATCCAACTTTCTGGTGTAATCACGGAACCATTCCTCTCTGCGCGAAGATGAATCAACAGCCTTGTAACGTGGATCGGAGTCAAGCTTTTTCTTAAAATCCCCCCAGTGAGAATGGCGATTCAGTCCTTTTTGTTCCTTTAACAAGGCAAGGAAATCATTTTTGACCTAATTAAAGCAAACAAAACAAAGATATAAATAAATATTAAAGTTTTCAGGGTGGTGTCAAATCCGTTGCGAAAAGCTTATGAGTCCCTGAAGCCATCACTAGAAGGATACTATAAGGAGAAACTAATATAGTAAATATACGTAGATATAATCTTACAACTTGTAAGGTTAATAATATTAATAAGCTTCTGGAAGGAGGGTTAAGTTCCCGCAACAAAAACATCGTAAGCAGTTATCAAAAATTTTATATCGACACGACAATGCGTGCAATTAATGAGAATAGACAATTTCGATAGCGAAGTAATGAAGGTGAGGCCAAGTATGGTATGTATATATATATATATATATATATATATCAGACAGCTTAGTTAAAATTATTGGCTTGAGATTTTTTTCAATCATTAACATAGTAGATTGTTTAAATCCATTAATATTAAACTTTTCTTGAAGGATATAAATGTAGCGAGCATTGGACTTACCCATACAATTCAATTAACAGACTAAGGGATAGGATCAAAGAAGGGCATCAATGAGTTAGAGATACGGGTAGTTAAATAGGACACGGCAACCCCTTGTACTAGGAGCAGGTAAATAAAGAAGCTATGGCAAATGCTAGGGGTATGTGATAAAACATTAAAAATGATTTCCCCAAACAAACAGGCTGCAAAAAGATTTCGCAATTAAACATTTCTTCGTCCAAACAAATATTATTTGTTAATTTTCCGAATGAGCCAAAGTTGAAAAAGTACTTCTTTCAGAAGCATTCTGAAATTGGAAGCTTTGAGGTTGAAGGCCCCGTGCACGATATATCTGGTAAGTATCCATAGGATGGAGAATCGAACGGCCTTCATGTGAGCAAGGCCTTGAAAAAAAAACCACTTATAAGCAAAACAAACCTGCCGCAAGGTAGATACATCAAGGTCGAGCGAGCAACGTTGAGAAATTTGACGCGCCGACGAAGCAAGGCCAAATCCATTTGGCGGCGTCGCTCTTCTGGCTATGACACCAGCTGCATCTTTGCCCAATTTCACGCTGCTAGCGAGCGATCGCGTGTGCGTACAGTCGTACAAAAGGCACAATCCCCTTCCTTGATTGCGCCGCTCAATGCAACGGCGGTCTGGTACGTGAATGCATGCATGCATAGGATGGACTTTAATATTTGGAGAGCCGATGTCCAGAATTTTACACAAAACAGCGCGATATAGATCCCTTCATTGGGGCTGTAAACGCAGACAGAGCTAATTCTAAGGCAATAATAACGCTCTCCTGTGTCAAAATGGTATATAAACAAGGCAGATAAAGAATTAAATTAATTTTATCTTAAAACCGCTTATATAGAGCAGCCAAATACTTGATTTTCTCTAGATAGCCTAATAAGTCACTAGTTTAGAATGAAGATAAAATGTTGAAGAAATCTGAAAAAAATCCCTAAATCTATGTGAACATTGGGAGTAAGCGTCAATTACTTATTAATACGTCCAAGAAAAATTAATTCTTTGCAGTTCATAACATGTCTGCAAGGGCTCAAGCAAGGTGAGTCTCTGTGTGAAGAGGGCTATCACTAGAAAATAAGAAGCGAAAAAGTTTGTAACGAATCAAGGACCCCAGAAGTTTATTTCGAGCAATGTCCTAGAATTTAATAAGTTTCATTTGCTCAGAATCTGCCCTCAAAACTACATTTATATGAATGCAAATGAATGAGAAAAATTATAAAAGAACTAGTAATAAGAGGCATCAGAAGATTAGTTTGGCGATAGCATCAAGAGATGGAATACGTTGCATAAATGAATAATCATTGTATTGAGAATAAGCCACTAATGAAATAAGTGAATTTCAAGGCAAACGTGAATGTGGCTAGTTTGTGAATCAGCTAGCAGCTTTATAATTATTGCAATGGATCGAATTCAGCTCGGGATCAATTCAAGAGTACTTACACTACCATCATAATGACTAACGTCACAGCCAATAGGATGGTCTTCGACGCAATTAAGTGAAAAAAGCGATAAATAGAGCAATAGTTTATGAAATCAGTCCATATGCCCTGAGCCATATTACCCAATGGCCGATAAAGCTATCCCTAAAAAACGAACGAGACTGAAAACGAGTGCGGCAGGAAGTTTGATGGCTTCTAAAATAAAAAGTATTATCCTGATGAAGAAACCGATAGCCAAATCGACATGGGCTGGCTGAAGAGTACGTGACATGAAACATCGGAAGTTACAAATAGATGAGTATTTATCGTGAGCCAGTTATACACAAAGACCCGAATAATATGCCTGATCGCTAGCATGGAAGTGTCAAGAGTGAATCCAATTTCAGCACTTGAAGCCACGAACAAACAAGTTCATGTCGCATGTCACGTACCAGAAAGCATGAATACATGCTGATAGGACATGAAAGTTAATATTACATTTAGCACATAAGAAGTCCTGTATTGAATACCATTATTGTTTTACAGCAATAAATCAAGTTGGATATAAGTTGAATGAGTAAATGACGCATAAAAATGCCCAATACTTTCACCGGTTACTGTCAGCAAAGGTGAAATGATGGACATTGAAGTACCTTCGAGTCAATCAAGAACCGTAAACCGCAGCATAGTTTGTCGAGATAGTCTGCGCCACTGATAGACTTTGGTAAGGAAAAGCCTGAAGGAATTTTAAAAAATATTTCATATGAAAAAATTTTTAAGTTGTGACATGCAGAGTTCAAGCTTTGATAAAACATAAGGAGCAGCCAGTATCGAAACCACTATCTCCTATCAGATTCGAGGGGCAAAATGCCAGAGATTGCCCATGAAGAAGCTCAATGTAAGGAAGCCTAAATTAAGGCTAATTTAAGCACGAGTGACATATTGAAGTTAGCACCCGATTTCGACGAATTCCACAACATACAATAAAGTAATTTCAGACAAGGGCTTATAATTGATTATGGCAATCAGACTGTGAATCTATGTTAAAATGCAAATATATTGTTTTTCATTAGCCTAATATTTTTGCGAAGGATCGGTCAAATCCTGAGTTAAATGTATCATGATGATGGAGGATAAATT